CGACAACCTCGTGGTGGGAGCACCACTGATGAATCTGGGTCTGCACATGCTGTTTGACTCCAGCCTTAACAGAAAAGAAGGCACGCGCGGGCCCGAGAGTGGATCTGTTCCTGATGCCTTCAATGACGCCGACGCTTCTCGCGGTCCGAGCCTTCAGAGCCAGCGGCACATAGCTGGAGCTGGCATACTTGAAACAGCAGTTGCAAATGATGTCGCCATGCTGCTGATCAAATCGGAATCCCTCAAGCTGGCCAATGTCAAAGCAGTTCTTGCATGCGTCAATCTTTGCAAAGGGTGCAGCACTTTGGCGTGTTGCGGCGGCGGCGGCCTTTTCCTCTTCGGAGAGATCAAATGCGCGAACAGCGGCGGCCGTCGCAGTCGCGACCTGCTTTGGAAGGTCAACGAGGACCGATTTCAGTCCCTCCACAATCGCGTCCACCGTAGCAGTAACGGCTCCACTGGCCACAGACTCGGCCTCTCCGAGCGCTGCACGCTCGAAAGGGTTGAGCTCAATCTGGGATGAGCCGTCTGGCCTCTGCCGCTTCGAGGAAGGTGGAGCACTCTGAGAGCGGCCGGGCGGCGAGTCGGGCGGAGGCAGGCGGGCGCGAGTCTGGAGCCAATCCTGGAGACCACCTGACGCGAAGATCGTATTCATCGTCGACTCGACATTGTACAGCTTCTCCTTGAACAAATCGAGTACCTCTTTGGGAAGGTCGTCGTCGCGTTGGATGCCGAGAACGGATTTGAGCGCGTCCACGTTGTGATGATACTGAGGAAACACCTCTCGCTGAGCGGCCATCACCAGGAGAAGGGTGCGCCACATGCCCGGCGACGCCAGTCGCGCTGTCGCGAGCACTTCTCTAATCAAATCGGAAACGTTCGTACGTCGTTTTTTATGTTCCTTTCGTTCGTTTGCGATATCGAGTGGGCTCAGCTCCCCCCCTTGGGATCGAAGCTTCCACGACCTCGTACCCAACATCCCAGGCGGGATCAGCGAGGGACTCTGCACCGGACACCGCCCGGGCACAGGCCCCCTACCCGTCGGACTACGCCTGGACCCCTCACAGAGCAGCCCACGCACAGGTCACACACACTCACACACACACACGGAGATTCCGGGCAAGAAGAAATCTTTTTCTGTGCGCGTTGCCGCCTCCTTCTAGGCCACGATGGTCGCTCCAGCTCAAATGCTGGGTAGCTCCATCCAGACGACCCCGGCCGCCATGAAGCAGGCGGTGCTCGACGCAGCCACTGGTGGCATGTCGCCGACATCGAAGGCAAAGTTCATCAAGTACCACTGCAGCGATTGCGGCGGCGACCTCATGGCTGGCGACGGCCCTGGCACTGACGTTACCGGCGCGTGGCGCAGCATGTCACGCAACAAGCACTGGACGAAGCAGAAGCTCGCCGAAGCGAGAGCCACATGGGTGCGGCCGAATGACGAGAAGACAGTCGTCACGGTGTGCACCGGAAGCAGGTGCCGCAAACCACTTCTCCCGACAGCGGAGCAGCTCGAGCGGATGCAAGAGCACAGTCTGACGATCAAGCAGGAGAGCGACGCGCGCGCGGCTGCGGCACGGCTCCCAGGCGACTTTGTCGATGCCGGCGACATCTTAGATCTGCTCAGGATGGGCATGTAGCGCCCAGAGACACGCGCGGAGCGCGCCGCTGCAGAACACGCGCGGAGCGCGCCGCTGCATGGGTAGGCGCGGAGCGCCGCCACTCGAGATTGGGCCTGTGGGTGGGCCGATTGGTTCCTAGCGTGTGAGTCAAACTCTTAATAGAAATCGCATCTAGCCCTCCACAACCCTCAAAATTTTCTTCGGGGCGCGCTCCGCGCGCGGCGCTCCGCGCCTACTCCTTGAGCGTCATAAGCACTGGTTCGCACATGTTCTGCAGCTTGGCGGCGCGCACACTCGGCGACACACTCGGGGGGGACGGGTGGACCGGGGCACCGGGCAGGCGGGCTCACCCTGCACCCTGGCACACGCTCACCCCCTCACACGGGGCGGCGAGCCACTCGAAAGTCAAAACCGTATATACACTGCACAACGGCACACGGCGACGTAGCGATCACGAACTAAATACCGCTATCCGCTAATAGTTAATAGTTAAATAGAGGCCCCCGCACGCGGGTCGCGGCACACGGCCGCCGCCACGGGGCGCGCGCCCGCCCCGCGCCCGGAGAGAGAAAGAAGAGGGGCAAAGAGCTCTGCTGCACTGCTGGTTGGTGCGCACCGACCGAGCGCTACACCGCACGCTGGCAGTGGGCCATACTGCGGTTCACAGCAGCCAGTGCTAATGCACAGGAGCCAATCAATCGCTCCCCGCGACGCACGCTCCACTCAACGAGAGAGCTTGGTAGGCGTGGAGACGGAGGCGGTCGAGAACGGAGAGAATCAAGTGACGACGGCCGGAAGCGCAGCAAGGTAGCCGGAGAAGCGGTGGGAGAGTCGGTGCAACGCGGCCTCCTCCGAGGCGCGCGCCGAGCTCCCCCCCGATTTCAGCCAACGCATCTGCGCGCCCTTGCTGTTGAGCACGTAGACCGCGCTGATGGGCACCGGAAAGGCGGGCATCATCGGTGCCTTTGCGCTGATGGTCATCGTGGCGTCGCCCGCGAGGGTGGGGCACGCAAACTTGGTCGCCTTGACCTTGACCCCCTTGAGGAACGCGGCCGCGGCCGTCACCCCCTTGATTTCGCAAAACTCACCTCGCTTGGTGATGACGCCCGACATCTTGGTGTCCCAAAAGACCGTCCAAACCTCCACCGTGCGCGAGCATGGCTGGTCCAGCTCGAGGTGGACCTCCAAGCCCTTCGCGGTTCGCCTCTGCGACCACGCGACGATGCGGTCGGCCGGCACGATGTACGGCGGCACCCCGTGCTCCACTGCAAAGCGGCGGGCCGCGCTGTCGGGCGACTCCTGCTCCTGCTCCTGCTGCATCGGCTCGGTGCTCTCAGCAGCCGTCGGCTCGGCAAGCGACGGCGGCACGGCTTCCGCAGCCGCCCTCTCCGATGCCGCGGCCAGCCTCTCCGCCTCAACCTGGCCGGCATCCACCTCCTCGCGAGTCCAGAGCGCCTGCGGCTCACACCGCTTCTTCCTCTGTCTCGGGAACCAGGAGGCGGAGGAGCCTGACTTTTCGAGGATTAGCTCACACGAAGAGGAGAAGGAGAGGGTCGACCCCACCGTCAGCGTCGACCCGAGCCACTTTGGGGAGGAACCCTTGCGGCGCAACATCGTGGGCGCGTCCTTGCTCTTTGGACTTACTCGAGTAGAGCTTCGCGGGTCTTTCTTTATTCCGCTCGCCTGCTAGGAGAGTGCCTCGCCATCGGACGAGTCCTCCGCCATCGCTCACTAGAAGACGGACGGCAGGGTCCTTTCGTTTTTAGAAAAAAGAGAAAAACTATAGAGGAGTCCGCTACGCGAAAGCATGCGCGACGCTGCCTCTTTGTTTGCTCCGTCCGCTCGCTCGCGGCTGCGCTCAAGAAAGACTGGTTTTCGTTCGTTCGTGTGACGTACCACAACATCGGAAAATTCCATGGCTCAACCCGTCTCCATGCCAGCTGCTCATCTCGCAATAACTCCCTTCTTTTGTTGAAATTAGACATCACAGGTCACGCCCGTGTGCTGGCCAGGTGCTGGCGCTCACACCCCGCCGGCGCCGCTGTCCCGCTGACTGTGTGATTGATGAGCGAAGGAGCGGGCAGCCAGCGGCCAGACGTCTGGGACTGCGCCTTTCGCTACGCGGCGGCGGTGGCAGAGGAAGGGGGATTGCGCGCCCCTGGGCCGGCAGCTGCGCCACCGCGCACCGGGGGCAGTGGACTGTATTTTCGCTGGATCTGTCAGGAGATGATCTGTGTCACAACTCAAGATAATAACACATCGATGATAAAACAAACGAGGTGGCCGTCCTTACTTCCCCCTGCAGGAAGATGAGATCACACAGGCTGTGCCTGTGGCCTGTGCGGGGGGCTGGTTCTCGAGGCTGGTTCGTGGTCGGCGAAATTCCTGCCGCCGCCATGCAACACTATGCTTTGCAAGCGCATGCGGTTAGCCTAGCGGTCAGCCATACGAAAGCGGGCGGCCCTGCGAATGCTGATAGTGCAGCGCTGCATCTTCACAAAAACCTGACGTGGTCACACCGGGGGCAGCCGCAACTAGAAAGGCGGCGAGACAATGAACATATGCATCGTTTGCGCGCCCCGCAGCTGCGCTCTCCTCATTTTGGCCCAAGATCACCAGATTCCTCCGGCGCAAAGCGAGAGCACATCCTCCCTTGTCTTTGCATCAACGGTGACTTTCCGAGCGGGAAGCGTTACAGCCGATTCTGGCATCGCGTTGGGCTCCGAGATGGGCTTTGATTTCCTGGGCTCCGGCGTCGTGCCGTCGAGGCGGACGCGGCTTGCCACCCCACTAGTCTCAGGCGCTGACTTGCCCCTCCACATTGGCCAGCAGAGGGTACTGTTCATCATCGTTGAAGCGCAACGGACCACGAAAACTTGCCGCCTGCTACCGTAACCACCACAATCATGGCAATCAGAGCCGCACAAGGCGTAAAATTTCAGTGTCAGTGCGCGCTTCTCTCATGGCTCTTATGAACATACCCGAAGGTCGAGCTGAGAAGGTTTGCGATGAGGTAGGTGCGATCCCGAGATGCGAGATGCGTGGTGATGAAATCAATCACACGGCTACGTCATGGTAGAAACCGCTACGTTACTTGCGGAAGAGCGCTACGCCGCCAGCGGGCAGCGGGCTCATACTAGCACATTCTCAAATCTTCTGGTCAGAGCGAGACGCTACCCCCCCCCCCCCCCCCTTCCCCCTCCCTCCCCTCCCTCTTATCCATCCACTTCTCCCACGCGCGCCACCTTGCCCCAGCTCGACAGAGCCCAGGGGCGGGGTGTCGTATCCTGGTCGTATCATCGCGCACTCAATAGGTATGAAAGTCATCAAACGCAAAAGACGCGCCTGCCTTTTTAACCGGAATTGGAGATGCAACGGATGCCCCCTAAGTTTCCCAAAACTACGGGCCGCCGGAAAGAGTGGCGAGCGATCGGCTCTTTACCGATTTATGAGCTTTTCGGCTGCGGCGAATTTTGCCTCGCCGTGGCGGTCATGATCGCGAGCGAGAAGTCGGCATGGAGTGCGACGACGCGGCCGAGGAGGAGCAACGCCGGGCGCGTCGCTGAGCACCGCAAGGTGTGTGTGCTGCGCTGCGCAACCCACGCCGATGCGCCCGGGGGGCTGGCAACCCACCCCCTCTCCGCGCGATTCCCCTCGCGTCCACAGGTGGTTGAGAAGGCGGCAAAGGGGGCAGGGGGGGCCAAGCAGCCTGCTGTGGTCGGCAGCGCGGTGGCCACTCCGGAGGCGCGGCCGCACAAATGTAACATTTGCGGCGGCGCTTTCAAGCGGCTGGGTGCCCTCACAGAGCACCAGTGCGCGCCCGGGCGCGTCTGCACCCCCGCCCGGCTCCCGCCCTCACCACCATTATCCCACGCGTTAGGCGGATCCACACGGGGGAGCGGCCATTCAAATGCGACCTGTGCGACGCCGCCTTTGCGCAATCCGGCCACCTCGCGCGCCACAAGCGGACCCATGCCAAGCGGGAGGGCGAGGACGCCTCTCGCGGTGGCGCCAGCTTGCAGCTTAAGCGCGCCGGGGGGGCTCCCGTCCGAGGTGGATCCCACCCACGGCCTCACACCGCCGGCCGATGTGTAGGCGCGCTCGCACCGTCCAAGCACGTCAGGCGGCTGCTGTCGGCGTTGTTCCGCCCGCGATGACCTCGGGTGTGAGCTGCGGCAGCAGCAGCAGCAGCAGCTTTGACAGCAGCGGGGGGTTGTCTGCGTTCACCAGCGAGGCGGTGGCCATTCCCATGGCCTTGGCGGGAGCATCACCGGCGACGCTGTTCGACGCCCAGCTGGCGCAGGTGCCCACGCCGGCTGTGAACGGCGTGGACTTCGACGGACGCTGGCTCTACTTCAGAGTGGCGGACGATATCGACAACTTCCTGTGCGTCGACACGCAGGACATGGCCACCTGAGCGATTGCGCTCGGCTCAGGTCACCTGACGGGAGAGCTGCGCGGCAACGCGGGCCTTCGATCTGAACCAGGGTGCCGCTTGCTCCGGTGGCGAGCTGCTACGCGCGAGCTCGCCGAGCCTCGCCGCTCTTGTTGGGATCAACTCATCCGCAGCTTTGCGGGCCTTTTTTGTGCCCGGAGAGTGCGCCGAGTTGAGCGCGCGCGAGAGACCGTGCCTGTCTGCTGGAGTTTGGAGGGGTGGGACTCAGTCTTCTATCTGTGTATGCGTTGGGTGTGGATGTGTGGCTGCGTTTCCTGTTCCTGCGCGCCGCAGAGCGCAATGTTGCGCGTGGGCTCTCTTGGGTGGATGTATCGTGGTGGAGTCGGGGTGGGGGGGTGCGTTCTTTCTTGCAGCGCCGCGCTTTGTACGTGTCTTCGCGCGGTCGTCGTGTACAGAACTCATCCGCACAGGAGAGCCGCGGCGGACTTTCTCTCGATGGACCGAGATAATCTCGGTCCGCCGCGCCCCCGCCCGCGCGCCCATGCCGTCTCACACCACCCAACCTTACATGCAGCGAGCGAGCAGCGTACGGCGAGAGCGACCGAGAGCAATCAAACACACAAATTGCTCGTTGGAAACGACGCCTCAACAACGTCATGATCCCCAAATTGCTTTTTACACGCTGGAATTTTGGAGCGGGGTGTGCGAACGATATGAGCTTAGGGTACCCCTAGGATTCTGAGGGCCGGATTTTTTAAGGGCTTTTAAGAAATGAGGAGGTTTGGAGGCTTAGATTGCCATTTAAGAAATGAGGAGGCACGGGGGTCCCTCTTTTAAGACCGTTCAAGAAAATCGGCCTCGCCGGCATCCGTCGCTGGGTTCCGCGCCGTTTTCTCCAATACTGCCGTTATTAGGCACAACCCGCCTCTGAAGACACATCTGTAAGTCTGGTGCACTGGCAGGAGCCATACTCGCATAGGGGGCGCGTGCTAGCTGACTGTAGCCAGCTTCCCGGCCTCCGGCGTCTTACCGGGAGCCTCCCGGACCACCGACCTCGGGAGCTCTCCCGGCTCCCGCACCGTTTAAGCGTTTAAGACCGTTTAAGGAACTGGCGGCCCAGGCAGCCTTAAAATGGGCCATGGCCCGCTTTAAGCCGTTTAAGCCGCAGGCGCCCCAGGGCCCACCCTTTTAAGCCTAGGGGTACCCTAAGGATATGAGATTTACTACATGAATTGAATTCACATGACATACACACCGCCATCGTCACGACGTCGATGACGACCGACCGCGCGACGGCACAGATAGTGATCTACATAACAAACGTAGAGGGACACGCGGCCGCCCTCTCCCCTCCCTCCTTTCAAACGCCTACTAGGCCGCGTGTGTCGGGAGCTCGGGACGTGTTCGACATGGTGCGGGCGGCGATCCAGTACTTAGCGGCACAGACCTCTTGCACCTGTTTTAGCAGGAAGCGTCTTTGACGACCTCGACGGTCGCCAGGAGCTGGCGGTGGTCCACCGCTGGCGCCACCGGCGTTGCCACAGCCACCGGCACAACGACGCGGACGCCGTCCGGGCGGCAGGCCAAACCAAACGCTGCCGCAAGGCGCTCGGGCATGAGGCGCAAACGCCGCCGGAGCCGCGGGCCCCTCGAGCGGAGGCGCGAGGCTGCGTGGCGGCCGGCGGCGGGCGAGAGTGCGAGGAGAGAGAGCGTGAGGCCGCCAAGCACGGTGACGGCGGTGAGTGCGAGCGTGCCTCCAGCGAGTGTCGCAGCAGAGCCGATCTCGAGAGCCGCCTCGATGCTCGCGGCGACGAGCGTCGGCGGGAGGAGGACGGCGGCGCTGCACGGGGAAGCTCCGGTCGGCGTGCACCCCACGCGCCCTTCTCGTGCGGCGGCGGCGCCTGTCGTGAGGAGCGCGTCCACAAGGCTGAGTGACACGTCGACCGAGAGGACGGCCAGGCTGAAGGCTGAAAGCACGCTCAGCTCCACGAGCCCCAGCGGCTCGGCCGCTTGCGAGGCGGCCGAGGCGAGGGCCGACTCCCAGATGCGCTGGTGCTCGCACCCCTCGGTCTTGAGCCGCGAGTCGAGTGCCACATTCTCGGGATGTAGCATCGCCACCCACGCCTCGTAGGTCGCCTCTCCGCGGTTGCGAAAGATGAAGCCCCGTGCGTGCTCGTGCAGTAGCAGCGCAGCTTCGCGGTTGGCCCGGACCATCTCGGCCTCGCACGCCGAGTCAGGCATCGCAAAGCAGCCAACGGTGGGCTTGCTTGCATGCGCCGCCGTGAACTCGAGCAGGTCGGTCTCACCCAACTGGTCTGCTGCTGCCTGCAGAGCGACGGCATGGATGCGCTGCTTCCATTTGAGGTAGGCCGAGCGGGTCACGCCGTGCGCCTCCCATGCGTCCTGGTCGCGCAGATACGATCCAGGCAATTCAAGCCGCGCCACGACCGCCTGGACCGCACGCACCGTGCGGCGACTGGGCTTCGCCACACCCAGCGCAAGCGCTAAAGCGTGCGATGTGGTGACGACCTCTGCTTCGCCGTCGTTGCGGACCGCGTGTCGGGCGTCGTTGAGGGCGTCGAGAGCGGGCCGCCTCATAGGATCCATGTCGGAGCAGGTCGGAGGTGGAGCAGGTCGGAGGTGGAGAGTGCGAACTGAGAGCGAGGTGCTGGACACGGCCAGGGACAGTCGTCAAGAAAAGGGTTCCAATGGTACACGGAACTAACCCTCGGAGACCCGTGTTTACTTTACAGCCCTTGCCCTGCGAACGCGCACCCCCGGGGCTAGGGCTCTCTAGCCCGTAACCCGATGCCAATCATCCGGCCCGCTGGGTGCGCTTCTTAGCTCCCCGGCCCTGGATGTGCGGTCGGTTAATGACTGCACTCCAAGTGCTCCAAGACCAAGTACATAGTTCGCATCCCCGGGGTTTCCCCCCTTTTTTGGGGGTTTTTTTTTTTTTTTTGAAAAAGGTTATTTGGAGGGCCCCCCCCCCCCCCCCCCGCCCGCTCAGGCAACACATACGAGCTTACTTCCTCAGCTTCCTCTTGACCACAGCGGATTTTGGTCACAATTTTCACATCATCGCAGAGCGCACCCGAGCTCAAAAAGTAGCAGGAAGGGCTTAGAAGGCTCTAAAGGGGGCTCCCAGGCACTAAATTTGTCCGCCCGGCCGATGCAAATGTCGTTTTGGGTGTCCGTCCACTGAAAACGGAAGACTCTGGCAAGCACTTTTTTGGCGCCGTGGCCGTGCTCGGCGCGCGCAGCGCGCGGAAAATCGTAAATCGGTGCCATTTTAACCGTTTTCCACACGGGATTTTCTTGTGCATGTTCGGCCTGCCCAGCACCACATCTCTAGCGTCTAGGGTTACACAGGAGGACGGGACAGGTGAGCGGCGGCCCCGCGCCGGCCGCGACGGTGTTGACGGCCGGCTCACCGGGACCAGGGGGACGGTGAGCCTACTGGTTGGAATCTTTGGGATGCGAGAAATAGAGTGGCCGCGTAGTCGTAGAGTTATATCTGGAGTCTTTGCGACATATGAAGGCAATACCAAGCTATCCTCTCCTCAAACAACGCACAGTCTCTCACGCAGACACCCCACGGCACGGACACGGCAGCCTGCCACGGACGGAGGCCGCGCCGACCGAGCGGACAAGGCACGCATCCGGGTACGGTTGCTCGCGTGCTGCGCAGTGGCTGCTATACCACCGAATCCCTGACCCTCAGCTAAGCCCAGTGGCGATCACGCCGACAACAGGCTGGCGTATCCGAACTCTTTGCAGGAAGGCTCGGTGGCCGCCTCGCAGCAACGAACGCGTCTCGTCCGTGTGATGAAGCATTTGCTGGAGGCGATTGGCTGAGCCCACCGGCGACCGATCCGTGTCTGTTACCAGTCACGAGCGCGTCGGAAACTCGCGCTCGGTGCCGCCAACGGGGTGTCTGCAGGGCGGCGCAGCCGCCCCGAAGAAAATTTTGGCCGGAGGAAGTCTGGAGGCCGTCGATTGTCACGCGGGGAGCCAAGCTGCGGGTATGGCGTCAGCGGCTTACCCCACTGACTCGACCACGGCGAATTGCGCGGGGTCCGACGACCTCAAGCCGACCGCATTCGGCCGATCTTGTTCACGTAAACGCACAACCCCGGGTAGATCACGGACGGCCAGCTGAGCCCGGGTCCGCCAAAAAGTTTTCTTTCGCCGCACACTTGGTGGGGCCTAAGGAGCACCCCGTTTCGATTTGAGAGTCTCATTGTATTTTCGACCGCGTGAGATAAGAAAGTGTGGATTTTGGCACTGGAGTGTGCAGGAAGTAACGCTGTGTGTATGTGTGTATGTGTGTGTGTGCACATGCCTCACGCTCTCGCAACGCCGAGTGCTCCTCTAAAGCTGCTCGCCGGCGGCGGCCTCGCGCAAGCACAAGTGATCAGGAGGCAAGCGTGTTTGCGCGCGCTGATGCTCCACGCGCTGCCGCTCGCCACCCTCCGGCCGTCGCCTGGCGTTGCCGCCTCTGTGGACCCATTCTTCGACAGGCTGCGCGCTCGCTACATCTTGCTCCGGCCCGGCGAGACCACCTTTGAGGCGGCCGGCATGGTCGACAGCAACCCGATCAACAAGCAAGCGGCGCTGCGAGGGCTCACCGAGCAGGGCCGCGAGCAGGTGCGGGCCGCGGCCGAGGCGCTGGCGGCACGCGGCGTCACGAGCCCCGTGATCTTTTACGACAACGGCGCCCGCGCGAGCCAGACGGCAGACATCCTCGCGAACAGCCTGTCGGTGCCGCGCAGGGACGTGGAGCCCGAGTTTCGCTGGCTAGAGGCGCGCGGCCTCGGAGCCCTCGACGGCACCGACCTGCAGGCCGCCACCGAGTACCTGCACCGGATCGACGCGGCGGACGTCGAGTCGGCCGCGGAGGAGGCGGAGGACGGCACGCCGAGCGACTCGGTCAACGACGTCTTTGGCCGCATGCGCAACACGATCGCAAAGATAGAGACGTCGTACGGAGGCGGCGACTTTGTGATCATCGGAGGCGACGCGGCCGTGCTCTCCGTCTTCGCCGCCGCCGCGTGCGGCACCGACCTGCGCGACCACGGCCGCTTCACGCTGCCGCCGGGCGGCTGGTACGACCTGCGGCAGCTGGTGGCCGACTATAAGGCCGGCCGGTTCGAGGAGGCGCCGCTGCCCGCCCCCTCCGCGGAGGAGGTGACGCGAGGGCGCGAGGCGCTGCGCGAGATGGGCCCGCGCATCTTCTCAGACACCGCGGCCGGCTCGTGCCTGTGCTGCAGCTGCAAGAGGTGAGAGCTTCCTGCCTAGTTTTTAGATCGTGTAATGGGTGTGGATGTGCTTACCTTATACCGCCACGATGACACAACGCTTGAAAAACCATTCTGACGAGCCGCCGAGCATACTTGCGTGGACGTTTCGGGCTCCTATCCCCCGCCCCGGATCCGTGGGCGATCGCACACGCGGCTGGGGGGCACGGCGCGGAGGTGCCAGGTGGCGCTTACCACTGAAAAGGAGGTTTTGGAGCCCCTAAACGCGTCATAATAGCCGCACGTTTGCCCTCGCCGTGCCTTGCCATCTCCGAGCCGCGCCCCCTCCTTCAGTTTTAAGGCGAATCGG